TCTATTCTTTTATGTGGACCTTACTGAATATTTTTGGAAAGCTTTATATGTTCTTCAGCCAACTCCCTATCAGTGTCACTTGTTTGCCTTTTTAATTAGTTGATGACTGTAGGAAAACCGAAAGAGAAGAATAGTGGGACACATTTCTTCTGTCCTGGTATAGCTGTACTGTTACATGTTGGTTATTTCCAGCAGGGCACTCATTAGTGGGTGCCCTCTTTACTCCAGCTAAGGAAGGTCCCCCTGTCCCGTAGCTTGGCTGCAGTGGCTGTAATCACTATAGAGTGGGGCAAGCACCAGCATCCACCTGTCTCCTTGCCTTGCCCTTGTTTTGGACATCTTCTCACACGGGCAGCAGGTTACTTGGGACCTTAGGACATATTGGGCCCAAGACAGAACTGTTACCCATCGTTCCGCAAATCCAAAACCCACAAGGAGCCTGTGCAGGAAAAAATGTAACTTCCTCTTCTCAAACTACTGTTCATATGAACATTTAGCTTTGAAGTGTTTATTTCCACCTCAGAGGATACTACAAGAATGGGATTTGGATCCCCAAGGTAAGAATTTCTGCTCTGCAAGTTAATTTCACTGAATTTTAAAACAGCAGCTCTAAAAATATTTTTTTTGTCTGTACTGCAGCTGCATGATTTGTTTACTGTGCTCATTTGTTCCATTCTGCAGGTTTGAAGATGGCACAGTCGCTTTCCTTGATATCATTGCTCTGAAACATGGATTTGATGTTCTGGAAAGACTCACAGGTCAGTTACTATAACTCTAATACTACAGAATGATGTTCCAGATTTATACCCAAGGCACAAGACACATTTATACTCTTATTTCCTATGGCTACAGTTTAATTTTCCATCCCAGATATACTGTCCGTGTTCACCGGAGTGAAGATCTTCAGTGTAACTGGTTTACTCAGGTCTTTCATACTGGATTATTCTAAGCTGCTTTTGAAAAAAAAAGTCCTGCCCATTCTCCCCAAGCATGCATTCAAGGCTTGCATATGTCAAGCACTTACAGTTTGTTTCACATTCACAAAGATGCAGTAGGAAACTAATAGTAGTAAGTAGCTGAGCTACATCCCATTGAGGCTTGAAGCTGTAAGAGTTCCTGCTGTGCATGAAGACCTCCTTGACCTCCTGCAGGAAAGCTGTTTTTTTATGCACAGATATAGAGAGGAACCATGAAAAGAAGCTTTTGGTTAAATAGAAACTATATTCCACTGTGTAGGTAACTATCTTCAAGCAGTGAAGTCTCCAAATAATGACTTCCTCAGTAATTTATATATGCCAGTATTTTGACACCTTGTAGTGGAAAGCAGCATTATGGTTTGCCTCTTTTCTCTGTACGACAGCTGCAAATTTCATGAAAATTCCCATCTTGCTTCCTGAGAAAAGCGCATGATTATGACATTACGGGAAAATTCCAGCCTCTCAGAGGTATCCAGCAAAACGTTGAGAGGCAGCACTTGCAAGCTGCTACAGGAGAAATTCTGATTCCACAATAAAAAATGCTTAATATTTAAAGAAATAAAGGAATATTCCACATAAGCTCAGGTGGACAAATTCCTGAGCAATTTGTTCTAGCACTGAAGTAGCTCTGCTTTGAGCAGGAATTAGGCCTAGATGACCCTCAAGGGTCCAAACCTAAAATGTTCCATGATTTCGTGTCTACAGTCTGTGCCTAGGTGTGTTCAAAATATGTGCCTCTGAGATTCATGAACCAGCTCACAGCCAGCCACCTTGATCCCACTTCAGGATCTGTATCATCAGAACACATCAGACTTAGCAGCAGTGGGCACGATGAAGGTCATCTCTTTTACCTAGTCTCCTGTCTAAAAGGAATTCATTTCAGTAGGTGACTGCCTTCCCTGACGTGATTTATAACTAATCCTAGGGATGAATTTCCATTTTGTCCTATTTTGATTTTTTGTAGATATTTACATGAGCCAAATATCTTCATATTTATATGACAGCTACATTATAATGGCAATAGGCTTCGCTGCTGCGGCTTGCCTAAACCGGTTGCGGTTGGAAAAAAATCCTGCTTGTTCATGGAGAGACATGCCAGCTACAACAAAATGATAGAGTCCTGTCTTCCACTAGCAAAAGCAATTTCTGCCCTCCACTCTAGTGTCCTAGGAGGGGGTAGAGCACAAACGCATACCCCAGACATACCCATTACATTTGCTAGTAATTCGGGAAAGATGTATGCTGATTATTCTAAGATATATTCTGAGTATTATATTAATAATGTCTTTCTGTTACTCATGTTCAGCTGTATGAAGCATATAAAATATAGCTTCGGTTTATGGAGTTAAAATTCCCCAGCCCGCTGACTTTGGGAAGTCAGTGCAAAGCGGGAGGAGGCCTCGGCTGGCGCCTGGTCTGCCTCAGCATCGCAACGCGCCGTGCTGCGGGTGACGGCCGGGGCGGGAAGCGAGCCTCAGCGAGCCCTTCTGGCAAGGGAAACGCTTCCAGGGAACGTGCAACCCTAAACAAGGGGTTTTCCTGTGAGTGAGAGCCTGCTGCTTTGGCTGAAGGCGCAGGAGCGCTGTGGGTGCCTCACGTACAGGCACTGTTTGTGCGAAGATGCTTTTTCCCATTGTGCTTCTCACCCATTTCCTCACCTCTCCTCACCACTTCTCGTGATAGCCATTTCAATCAGACAATTGAAAATCTCTTAATACTAGACTGAGGGAATAGTCCTGAACTTGAATAAAGTGGATAGCAGTAGATGAAAGTGTAGACCAGAAACATGAATAAATAGTCTGTTGAGACCTTTCAGTCTTTATTAGTGTTTAAATTTGCCTTCTGGCCTGTAGCATGGATGAAATCTAAGGTGGCTAAAGTGACTTGAAATAATTTGTCTATTGAAAGGATCCTCTACAGAACGGTTAGGTGGGTGGAGAAGTTGCCTTTAACTTTGGGCTTGATTCATTTATTGTTGACAGTGTTTTTACTTTTACAAGATTGTTCTAAATCTGATAACTTTCTTCAGTTTCTGAAATACATCAAATTTTATTTTCTCTAGCACCCGTCAGTGACCAGGCCTAACTGGTGCAGATAGTAAGGCAGATTCATTTATACTATGAAGGGAATGGTTACATTTGTTCATTAATAAAACCACATCTGACTGTATCAGCACCATATTTATTTTTTACCAGTATGCTTGACTAAAATCATTGCAAGGCTTTTTGTGGCACTCTTTATTGCATTCAGAAGAGCTGTGGACTGCTGTTTTCTGGAGGCTAAAACACTTCTCTAGATGTTGTAGATAATTTTGCAAGGAAGTTTGCAATGCAGTGATGTCTGCTGTCTGACACATAACAACACCTACTTTGAATTAGCCTCGCACAGAAATTTACAGTGTGGGGTTTCGTTGCTGTTGTTTTTGTAGAGTGTTTTGACAATGGTGTTTCACCTGTTGTGTTAACCTTTGTTTTTCCTAATAAAGTGTGCTATTGCTTTTGAACAGAGAGCATTAGCATTTGTGTGTATACAGCAAAGCATACTATAGAAATGCTTCCTAATCCAGAATGACTGCAGATTTGTTTAAGTCCCTTCCATTCAAATTTCTTCCACTTCGACTGACAGAAATTTCAGTGACAAAATGCACTGTCAGATGTGGATCGCTTTTGATTCTCACTTTTCTGTGGATCCTGGACTGTTCCCTTTGCATTCAGCCCATGCAGCACGTGGTTCTTGTTCTGCGTTTGAGCAGCTTGGAGTGGAAACAGGATGAACAAAATTGTTGTTACTAATTTTGCTGTTCCCTGTGATAAAAGCACTGATCGAGTTCTTTAAGATCTTGTTAAGGGGAGGGAGACGGCCAATGGAAGGTAAATCACAGTTTGATCATTAGGCTCTGTTGTGAAAACTAGAGATTTGTTTCTGAGTCTGATATCATCCTGATTAAGTCCTTGACCTGTCTCCACTTTGATTAACAGCAGGGCATATTTCATGCTAGAGTTACATCATGATATGAGTGTGTATACTGATTTCCTTTTTTCAAGGGTTTTGTATGCTATAAATTTCAAGATAAACTTGGCTTAAGCTGCTATGTATTTTTACTAGTAAATATTTGCCAGTTTTACAAATGAAACCAAGGTACATGATTTGCAATTCTATTAGGAGGAGTAGTTTAATTATGATGTCTGTTCAGGAAACATGAATTAATTCCCCAGCAAAATATAATATATATTGGAAGAAGCTGTAAAATGCAAGCCAGCTCTCCTAAGGATGATGAATTAAAAGTCCTTTATAAAGGGACTGCTTGATTAGTTGTTGGAGAGCAAAGGTTGGGCTGCTTCTCATAAAGGCAATTATACTGCACAACAGCCAAAGCAAAACACAGTGCTGGATGCTGAAAGGCAAAGTTGATTTTGATTTTTAAGTTGGCCTTTGAGAGTTGGGACTGTGTTATTTTTTGCTTTGCTTTTAATTTTTGCTTTCCTCTGAGATATCAATAACTGGTGGCATCCTTTGTTTTTGGGAAGATCTCTTCCCACTAGCTTAAAGGAGAATAAATTGTTGATTACACTTCAGCTTTACTTTCTCTATGCCAGACATATGCCATAGGATGAACCTTAGTGTAAGAGAAACCTGAGCTGTCTGTGCTAGAACCTTAATTCATGGTGCACAATTACACCCTCCTGTAGCTACATGTGAATGATGGTTGTGGGTTTGGGGTTTTTTCCTAAGAAAAAAACAAGTTGACATTGGGCAGAAGATGCTCCAGCAACCCTCATAATTCTGGAATAATGCATGCTCTGAAAAGAGGAGCGGGCATTTTAAATTTTGGCATCAGGAAGGAAAGACAGGCTTCTGAATGTGAAGTGTGTGCAAAGGAGCCTAAATCTGAATGGTATTCTAATGCCCGGATAATGATGCTACTGTCTGTCAAAAGACATAAATCTCTTCCTTTTTTAATGGCTCATCAAGTGAATGATTTGATTTTTTTAATTTCTGTCTCAAGATTAATTTGGTTTAGAAAACAAACTATTTACTTCTAATAGGCCTTTCTGCTAATGTGTTACCTGTCAGTCCAGGTTTTCTTAGGTTTCTTTTTGTGACCTAATGCAAACAAGACATCATTTGTAGCCTCGAAAATACAGCAGGACAGCAAGAGCATCATTTCAGAAGCTAGGAAAAGCCAGTTAGCAGAAGAAATCCTGCCAGGGCTGCTCTTGCAGTTTAATCTGTTTTTAAGGTTTATTTCTGGAAATAAAAGCTGCTTTTCTGTTTTGTTTTTGTTTCAATGTGGATTTGTTGATAGTGATGTAGATCGCATCCACAAGCTTCCTAATTTGTTAAGAGGCCTAGGGCAGGACCGCAAAATTTCCTCAAATCTGTTAAGATAACAGGAAGCAGGAAGAAATATTATAGCACAATCTGCCTTGGATTTTGTTCTTTTTTTCTTTTTTCGTAATAAAAATTATCCTAGAGAGAAAAATATGCTTCTTAGGAACTAAGAGGAGGGAGAAATGTCTTTGTTCTAAGCTGAGCCGAGGAAGAAAAGGTGCGACCCAGGTGGCCTGTCCGTGTGGCCTGTCTGCCACTTCTCTTCCATCTATCTTTAAGTACATATTTAAACCCTAGGTGAAGAGTATCTTGCCTGTGTACTGGGTGTCCTGGTAGTTATTCCTTGGGAGTGGAGATGAGGAATTCCTTCTGAAGCTTTTGGAACCACCTTGGTGTGAAACTGCTTTGAATAAGATCGCAACGTGCCCTGTGGTTTTTGGAATGATTCA